CCCTAATGTGCGACAATTTGTTTACCGATCGAGAAAACTTCGGCGAAGCCTTATCGGCGGCACACATCTTGTTTACGTTATCCAATTAATGATAAAGAAGGCAAGGCAACTGACATACCAACGAAGATGAGGTTGATGGCGCGCTTTATCGCGGATCAGATGGCGTCAATCCGGTAAGTTACTGCCCCCTGCACCCCCTGCGCCCCCTGCGCCCCCTGCGCGTTATGTGCACCGACGAACGATCAGCCAACGACTACGGCAGGATCGACTACGCGACGACAGTTTATTTTCTCTCGTAGAAGTATGCAGAATTACGGCTGCATTAGCGCTCCTGATGTGAGGTTTGCAGACTCGGGACGCTACGGCGACGGTCACGAATCGACAGCTCTTTTACGACCTCAGAGTCGAAGCGACTCTAGCGTGTTCACCTCGTGCCTCAACTTCTCGCCGCTACGCTTCGCGCACTCCCGAAAACTGTCCGTCCTGCCGTCCGCTGAGGCAAAACACCTTCCGCTTGCTGACGACCGTGGCACGTTCTCCAAGCGAGACAAAGTGGTCATTGCCATGTTGGCGTTTGCGAATCTCTCGGCGACCGTCATTTACTCGTGTATCGCCCCGTTCTTTCCGTCGGAAGTATTGCTGCCCTTGCGGTTACTGGCCTGAAGCTCGATTTTAGGTACAGATCTTGATTTAGGCAGCGATGAAGAATGCGACTGAAACGTCCGTTGGATTAATATTTGGCATTTTCGAACTGACCATCTTTCTCGTATCGCCGATCGTCGGACGCATGGTAATTTGTCGTCTAACGTTACGTCGCTATTCGTTACAACAGATGATGGACGCATCGTTCGGTTTTAGAAGTAGATGACATTCTGCTATTGGCAGTTAAGTGAAGTAGATTAGTCACTTGACCAGTCAATCAACACGAAAGTATCAGTATAAAGGTCATCCTTAGGGCACCCTTAAGTTGCATGATCTGAAAGCGGCTCGCCCAGGTATATTGATGAAGAATTGTCACGACTAACTACATGTTAGAAATGCTTACTACGAATGCCCTTGACGAACTGTCGCGGTTTTGTGACTTCTGCTACTTGATTTTTCGGAGAAATTCACAGAAACCTTATATTCCAGGCGCCGGTAATCAGTGATTCATAGATCTTTTCATATGTTTATGGCACATCTGTCTTGGATAAGAATACTGTGTTGCAAATCCGAGAGGAAGGACTGACGGTGCCGTCCATATTAGTTTCCATTGAAAGCATGAGGAAATCTTTGCACCATACCGTCCGTTCCTTTTCAGTTTTTGATACCGGATGGAAGCCGCGTGAACACCGTCCCGTTGCTTCTAGTGGTCCAGGGGACCATTTAAGCAGACCACGGCTCCATGACATTTGGCACCTGCGGTGCATGGATGCTGAATCGTGTCACTTGGCAGGGCCGAATAAGAACTTGTTCAGACACCTGCGAATATGCCACGATCCGCAGGCTTATTTCTAGGGGAAAAAGTTAAACCCGATCTACTAGCATACTACTAGTTACTGATACCGCCGCTAAAATGTATAATCCTATGCAGCTTTTGATACCGGATTGAAACCGTCTATTCTTTGAACGGAAGATAACGACTCATTGGCAGGTGTAACGGAGGACGCGGAAAATGCTTCAAAAAATAACTGAAATCAGAAAAGTTAGAGGGAAGGAACACTGATGTAGAAGGAAGCTGATTGAACGGTTCTTCTCTCTTTGAGCCTTCGTTGTTTTCGAAGGGCACTTGTTGCTGTCGCTTGACTCTCTTCACAGTATTCCTCGCGTGCACCCATCAAGACCTTTCTGTACACGTTAGTTGATTTGAATTAGAGTCGGTTGATATGGTCATGCATGGGTTTGCCTGCACGGCGGTCACGTTGTTTGGCTTCTTCCTGAAACAAACTTCAACGACTCGTCAATCACACCAAATTGAACTGAAATTTAACACGCAGGGCGCAGTTGAAATGGGTCTTTAGTGACAGAGGAAAGTCGGAAATCTTAATTTAAGGTTCCAAATTAATCTTCGCCACGCTGATGAATCAGCGAATTCACATGATGTGAGTATGCGGACGAAAGTTGAATCTTTTCTTGTTGACGTTATGTTCAAACGCCCCAGTCTTTGGATAAAACCAGTGAAATTCAGAACCTGATTAATAAATGATTAGAACTTGTAGGAAGGCGAAGTTAGCTGCATAGTTCATGACGTATCCGTTATTTAGGTCCATCAAGTTGGGTCGAAGTTTCTATACGGCACTGGCCTTTGCGCTACGGCCGTAACATCAATTCTTTTCGGGTACGAGTTGAAAGATTAATTTTTCGCAGCATCATTGCGCTTCTTATTTTCAGTTTGTTGAACTGGTCTCCTCCAGGAACGACGTTTATACTTTTGGCAATCGTGGTGAGAGTCTTCGAAGGAATTGGAGACGCGTGTTTTCTCGTAGCTTCGTTTACAATCATTACGCATACTTTTCCAACCCGTGTGGCTACGCTGATATTAAGTATTGTATTTTGTGCTTAATTTATGAAAGTTGGTTTTCAGGGAATTCTGGAAACATTCAGCGGCTTGGGATATTCGATCGGTCCACCTCTAGGAGGTGCATTGTATGAGGTAAGATTTTTTAGACATGCTTGGGCAACGTGACAAATGAGGTTTTAGTTAGGCGGCTTTCAGACACCGTTTTGGACCCTGGCATTTCTCTTGTTCACCGCTGGTGTCACTTCTTTTTTCGTCATTCCTAAGCA